CTTTGTCATTTTTGTATATTTATTATTAAAAAACAATAACTCTGGTAAAATGGAATTAGTGGACTGAATTGTTTGTGACTTGAATAAACATGTGGTAGGATCTATTACCCTTGATATTAACACTATAATAGCATATGGTGAACATATTACATAAATTGTTAATATTAACCTTAACCACTTGGACCACAGGTGGAACACACCCCTAACACTACCTAGACAGCTAGAAATTACGAATGCCATCATAAAGCTATGTACAATATAGGTAGGTGTATCCGAGGCGCGTTGCAGGGAAGCCACCGGCATCCTCCAATTCTTCCGTTCTTACCATTCTATTACAGCGGTTTCACACAAATTTCATGTCAATTCTTCAGTAGGGGACATTACTGCATTATTTGTCGTCTGACACCGCTCCACTCAAATTTTGTCCCAATGACGTCTGATTCAATTCAACTATTATCATGACCAACTTTCCCTCATTTTTCCATTATGGCGTCCCTCCCTCCCCCCCCCTCACTCCGGGTGGTTGGTCTTTTCTTCACTCGAAAATTAAATTTAGATCACCAGCAACATTTTTAACATTTACATTATTGAAATTATACATTTAGGAAAATTATGTAAAAGTTTCCACATTAATAAATTATTATACAGTGGATCCCCGCTTAACGATCACCTCCAAATGCGACCAATTATGTAAGTGTATTTATGTAAGTGCGTTTGTACGTGTATGTTTGGGGGTCTGAAATGGACTAATCTACTTCACAATATTCCTTATGGGAAAAAATTCGGTCAGTACTGGCACCTGAACATACTACTGGAATGAAAAAAGTTCGTTAACCGGGGGTCCACTGTATTGCCATTTTTGGTCTGGAACAGATTAATTCTATTAACATTCTTTATGAGAAAAATCAGTTCAATTGTTGACAATTTTGGTTGTCAAACTGACATCTGGAAATGAATTAAGTTCGACAACCAAGGTTCCGGTGTAATTAATATGAACAATCGTCAAACTTTAGAGCAATTTCTGGAGACTTGTTAATGGTTATTTTCTGTTAAAGTCTGTTATATTTTGTGCCTTTGCATCTATATCATAACTAAGAGCTAAACCCACAAGGGTCATACAGCACTTGTTGGGTAGACTTCAGGATGTACATGTTTATAGAGGGGCCACAGATATATCAGATCACTTTTTAGTTGTAGCTACACTGAGAGTAAAAGGTAGAATAGAAGGAGAATAGAAGCAACAAGAAAGAGGTGAATGTTTATAAGCTAAAGGAGGAGGCAGTTAGGGAAAGATATAAATAACTATTGGAGGATAGATTTGTTAGTGAGAGTATAGGCAATGGGGTCGAACATGTATGGGGTAGGTTTAAAAATGTAGTGTTGGAGTGTTCAGCAGAAGTTTGTGGTTACAGGAAAGTGGGTGCAGGAGGGAAGAGGAGCAATTGGTGGAATGATGATGTAAAGAGAGTAGTAAGGGAAAAAAGTTAGCATATGAGAGGTTTTTACAAAGTAAAAGTGATGCAAGGAGGAAAGAGTATATGGAGAAAGAGAGAGACATTAAGAGAGTGGTGAAGCAATGTAAAAAGAGAGCAAATGAGAGAGTGGGTGAGATGTTATCAACAAATTTTGTTGAAAATAAGAAAAAGTTTTGGTGTGAGATTAATAAGTTGAGAAAGTCAAGAGAACAAATAGATATGACAGTTAAAAGTTGGAGAGGATAATTATTAAATTAAGAGTTAGAGGTATCTGGAAGATGGAGGGAATATTTTGAGGAATTGTTAAATGTTAATGAAGATAGGGAAGCTGTGATTTCGTGTATAGGGCAAGGAGGAATAACATCTTGTAGGAGTGAGGAAGAGCCAGTTGTGAGTGTGGGGGAGGTGTGTGAGGCAGTGTGAGTGTGGGGGAGGTGTGAGGCAGTGTGAGTGTGAGGGAGGTGCATGAGGCAGTGTGAATGTGGGGGAGGTGTGTGAGTGTGGGGGAGGTGTGTGAGTGGGGGAGGTGAGTGTGGGGCAGTGTGAGTGTTGGGGAGGTGTGTGAGTGTGGGGGGAGGTGTGTGAGGCAGTGTGAGTGTGGGGGAGGTGTGTGAGGCAGTGAGAGTGTGGGGGAGGTGTGTGAGGCAGTGAGTGTGGGGGAGGTGTGTGAGGCAGTGAGGTGTGGGGGAGGTGGGGGAGGCAGTGAGAGTGTGGGGGAGGTGTGTGAGGCAGTGGGTGGGAAGAAGGTTGGGAAAGGCAGTGGGATTGGGGGAGTGAAGAGGCAATGTAAGCAGGTGGGGTAGTTGGAGGGTTGGGCATGTGATAAATGTTGGAGAGGGTAGGTAGCAGTGGATTGAGACATTTAAAGTTTATAAGGCAGGGGATATGTGGATAAAGATAATGGGTAAAAGCAGTGGGGATATATTCTGGTAAAAGGTTGGTGTTTTATTGAAAAAGTTAAGAGGGTAAGTGACCAGGATGCAGATGAACAAAGTTACTTCTAGGAAAAGGGGGTGTATAAGGTGTTACAAAAATATAAGTGAACAGTCTGTTGAGATAAGGTAAAGATGTTTGGTGGATTTATGGATTGGAAAGGGGTATTACAGGTAAGGTGAGAGCAGGATAGCAGATGTAGCAAGGAGGTTAGGAAGGTAGGGGAATGTGTGGAAGGTTTTCCAAGGTGTGAGGAATAATATATCAGTGAGAGAGATATTTAGTAAAAGTAAAGAGGTTTGTGATTATGTGATTTCAAAAAGGGAGACTAGATCAGGGGCCCAACTGTTATGTAGATTTTGCAAATGTTTATGTAAGTGTAGGGGAAATGGATAATTAAATTTAAAATTTTCCCAAGATAGTGTGGGTACAGATTAAATAGCATGAAAAATATGTAATTCTCCAGTAGTAGGGTTAAAAAAGGATGTGTTGGCAACGAAGTTGAATGTTCAATATAAAGTGGACCCCCGACTTACAATCAGCTCCCAACTCGAGCAATTATGTAAGTGTATTTTTGCAAGTGTTTTTGTAAGTGTATTTTTGGGGGTCTGAAATGGACTAATCTAATTTACAATATTCCTTATGGGAGCAAATTCGTTCGGTAACAGCACTCAAACAGCCATCGAATTAATATCGTAATTCGGGGGTCCACTGTATTTATAGATGGAGTTGTAAGAGAAGTGAATGCCCAGGTGTTGGCAAGAAGTTTGGGGTTAAGAGTTAAAGAATCAAACACAAAGTGAGAGTTGTCACAGTTGCTCTTTGCTGATGACACTGTGCTTTTGGGAGATTTTGAAGAGAAGTTGCAGAGGTTGGTGGATGAGTTGGGTAGGGTATGTAAAAGAAGAAAATTAAATGTGAATATAGGCAAGAGTAAGGTGAAGATGATAAAAAAATTAGGCAACAAAAGATTGGATATCAGATTGGAGGGAGAGAGCATGGAGGAGGTGAATGCATTCAGATATTTAGGAGTGGACATGTCAGCAAATGGGTCTATGGAAGATGAGGTGAATCATAGAATTGATGAGAAGATGAGTGGTGCACTGAGAAGTCTGTGGAGACAAAGACCTTTGTCCATGGCATCAAAGAGAGGAATGTATGAGAGTATAGTTGTACCAACACTCTTATATGGGTGTGAAGCATGGGTGATGAACTTTGCAATGAGGAGAAGGCTGGAGGCAGTGGAGATGTCATGTCTGAGGGCAATGTGTGGTGTGAATATAATGAAGAGAATTTGTAGTTAGGAAATTAGGAGGAGGTGCGGGATTACCAAAGCTATTATGCAGAGGGCTGAGGAGGGGTTGTTAAGGTGGTTTGAACATGTAGAGAGAATGGAACAAAATAAAATGACTTCAAGAGTGCATAAACCTGTAGTGGAGGGAAGGTGGGGTAGAGGTCAGCCTAGGAAAGGTTGGAGGGAGGGGGTAAAGGAAGTTTTGTGTGCGAGAGGCTTGGACTTCCAGCAAGCATGTATGAGCATGTTAGATAGGAGTGAATGGAGACAAATGGTTTTTATGACTCAACATGCTGTTGGAGTGCGAGCAAGGTAACATTTATAACGAGATTCTGGGAGATTGGTAGGCCGGACTTGAATCCTGGAGATGGGAAGTACAGTGCCTGCACTCTGAAGGAGGGGTGTTAATGTTGCAGTTTTATAACTGTAGTGTAAAGCACCCTTCTGGCAAGACAGTGATGGAGTGAATGATGATCAAAGTTTTTCTTTTATGGGCCACCCTGCCTTGGTGGGAAATGGCCGATGTGTAAAAAAAAAATATATATATAAAGCTGAACTGATAAATAATGCCCAGTGTGTAGAATTATCAGTTTTTCAGTGATGGGAAGCAGTTTATGGATTCTCTTAGACTCTGAACAACTGCCAGCTTCTCTACTTCTGCATTTTGGGGTCATTATTATTCTGAGGTATTTTTGGGCCATAGTAAACTGTGGATACTGAATCAGTGGCTACAGGGGATCTACTGTGTTACCTGTCACACTGACTTGTGTATTATCCCCAGTTATCTTAATATATGATCACTTCTCTTTGACCAAGTGTATTGTTGTACAAGTATCATTAAACTGTAATACAGTGGAATAATATATTAACTCTCCCTATATTTATACTGTTATTCTTAATACAGTAATACATTACCTATCCATCACACCCCCCCCATATATGGTGTACACAGGTGTACATAAGTGTAGTGTACACAGGTGTACATAATAGTGTACACAGGTGTACATAAGAGTGTAGTGTACACAGGTGTACATAAGAGTAGTGTACACAGGTGTACATAAGAGTAGTGTACACAGGTGTACATAAGAGTAGTGTACACAGGTGTACATAAGAGTAGTGTACACAGGTGTACATAAGTGTAGTGTACACAGGTGTACATAAGAGTAGTGTACACAGGTGTACATAAGAGTAGTGTACACAGGTGTACATAAGTGTAGTGTACACAGGTGTACATAATAGTGTAGTGTACACAGGTGTACATAAGAGTGTAGTGTACATAGGAGAGTGAGAGTCTGTAGTGAAGAAAGTTATTTATTTTTAATAATAATAATAATTATTCACCTTTGGCAACTGTTATAACTGAACCACTACCAGTTATCACTCGGTTATCTTCAAGTTATAACTGAACCACTACCAGTTATCACTCGGTTATCTTCAAGTTATAACTGAACCACTACCAGTTATCACTCGGTTATCTTCAAGTTATAACTGAACCACTACCAGTTATCACTCAACCATTCAGAGTTAACTTAAAGTGATAACTCCCTCACCTAATAACTACACCCACTCCAGGATAACCTCTCATGGTGATAACTCCAGGATAACCTCTCATGGTGATAACTCCAGGATAACCTCAAGATAACCTCTCACAGTGATAACTCCAGGATAACCTCAAGATAACCTCTCACAGTGATAACTCCAGGATAACCTCAAGATAACCTCTCACAGTGATAACTCCAGGATAACCTCTCATGGTGATAACTCCAGGATAACCTCAAGATAACCTCTCACAGTGATAACTCCAGGATAACCTCAAGATAACCTCTCACAGTGATAACTCCAGGATAACCTCAAGATAACCTCTCACAGTGATAAACTCCAGGATAACCTTCATGTGATAACCCAAGATAACCTCTCACAGTGATAACTCCAGGATAACCTCAAGATAACCTCTCACAGTGATAACTCCAGGATAACCTCAAGATAACCTCTCACAGTGATAACTCCAGGATAACCTCTCATGGTGATAACTCCAGGATAACCTCTCACAGTGATAACTCCAGGATAACCTCTCACAGTGATAACTCCAGGATAACCTCTCACAGTGATAACTCCAGGATAACCTCTCACAGTGATAACTCCAGGATAACCTCTCATGGTGATAACTCCAGGATAACCTCAAGATAACCTCTCACAGTGATAACTCCAGGATAACCTCTCATGGTGATAACTCCAGGATAACCTCTCACAGTGATAACTCCAGGATAACCTCTCACAGTGATAACTCCAGGATAACCTCTCACAGTGATAACTTGACACATTTGTCTTGTCTACATCGCAGCACTGCCAGACACGTCTTGTGTACGTCGCAGCACTGCCAGACACGTCTTGTGTACGTCGCAGCACTGCCAGACACGTCTTGTGTACGTCGCAGCACTGCCAGACACCTGTCTTGTGTACATCGCAGCACTGCCAGACACCTGTCTTGTGTACGTCGCAGCACTGCCAGACACCTGTCTTGTGTACGTTGCAGCACTGCCAGACACCTGTCTTGTGTACGTCGCAGCACTGCCAGACATGTCTTGTGTATGTCACAGCACTGCCAGACATGTATTGTGTATGTCACAGCACTGCCAGATGTACACCATCAGCTGTGGCATCACACTAGTCAACACGTCAGGCAGCACTGCACCTGGCGTCTTTAATGACAAATGTTATCATACAGCACTGATGTCATTTTTGTCCACTAAAAACAAATGAACAACTAAACTCGCAGAATAAATTCTGGCACCGTGGGAATATATTTATATATTGCTCTATTTCAAGGCTTTAACTCTGTAGTTACCACTGAGGCTTTACTCTCACTCAAACTTTATTTACACTCTCAAGCTTTACCTATACATTCCCAGTTTCAGCTTTATGCTGGCATGTGCTGCAGCTTTAAAGTTCAGTCTTGCCAAGCTTAAAACACGCTCAATTATCCAGTTTAAACACCTTCAATTACCCACCTTAAACACCTGTCATCAACAAATATACACAGTGCCATACTCTCATCTTGGCTATACACATTCATGTATAATACACACTTCCTCATTACAGTGTTCCCCTTGGTATAAAAATTGCCTATTTATACGTTTTTTGTATCAAATACGTAAGGTAAAACAGCGTTTGTCGCGCGTGTTGACACCCGCGGCGCCGGTCCTCCCTCCGTCGTGTTGAACGCTCAAAAATATATGTCGTCACCGCCACCGGTGTTAGCAAGTTTTAGTTAACATGATCTATGGTAGTGATTAGTTGAGTGCTGGTGGGAGGTGGTCAGTGGTCTTGTGGGACTGATCCCCCTGTTCCAAGGTTGAGGGACTGATCCTCTTGTTCCAAGGTTGAGGGACTGATCCTCTTGTTCCAAGGTTGAGGGACTGATCCTATTATTCCAAGGTTGAGGGACTGATCCTCTTGTTCCAAGGTTGAGGGACTGATCCTCTTGTTCCAAGGTTGAGGGACTGATCCTCTTGTTCCAAGGTTGAGGGACTGATCCTCTTGTTCCAAGGTTGAGGGACTGATCCTCTTGTTCCAAGGTTGAGGGACTGACCCTCTTGTTCCAAGGTTGAGGGACTGATCCTCTTGTTCCAAGGTTGAGGGACTAATCCTCTTGTTCAAAGGCTGAGGGACTGATCCTCTTGTTCCAAGGTTGAGGGGCTGATCCTCTTGTCCCAAGGTTGAGGGACTGATCCTCTTGTTCCAAGGTTGAGGGACTGATCCCTTCGAATGAAGGTATATGGACTGACCACCACCTACCAAAGCAGAGGGACTGACCCCTCGTTAGCAGGTATAGGGGACTGGCCCCCCGTACACAGGTATAGGGGACTGACCCCCTTCGTACACAGGTAGAGGGGACTGACCCCCTTCGTACACAGGTATAAAGGACTGACCCCCTTCGTACACAGGTAGATGGGACTGACCCCTTCGTACACAGGTATAGGGGACTGACCCTCCCTCTTGCACCAAGTCAGAGGGACTGATCCCCCTTGCACCAAGGCAGAGGGACTGACCCCCCCTCACACCAAGGCAGAGGGACTGACCCCCCTCACACCAAGGCAGAGGGACTGACCCCCTCGCACCAAGGCAGAGGGACTGACCCCCTCGCACCAAGGCAGAGGGACTGACCCCCCCTCAACATTCCATATATGTGTGTGTGTGTGTGTGTGGTTAACAACAACTATAGGGTAGAACGTAGGATCACGAGAGGATGGCCACGGACCGCCTGGAGGCCGCCGCGCTCACATTATCCAGACTACTCCACTTCTTGTGGCCGTTGCGACCAAGTTGTGCCGCATACCTGTCCTCGCAGCTGCGTGACATGGCCTCCAGCTTCTGGGCCCGCTCCTTGCTCAGTGTCTCGGCTGGGAAAGTCAGCTCATTGGCCTCGGCCAGCGTACCAAGCTGAAGTAATACTTGGCATACACGATGATGGCACATTGATGTTGAACTGAATCATCACCAGGTACTGACGCTCCAGCTCATTCTGTCAATGACATCAATGTTAATTAATACACATAATTATATACATATACAGTAGATCGTAGATTACACACGATCATCTAACACAATGTCAATAATACATTATTGCAAAATTGTGGCATATTACTGATGAGCGGTGTGAAACTCATCTAAGATAGTGCAACTATGGAGAAAAATGGGTTACAGCTTGTACAAAATGGCTAGTAACTGCTAATTTCACTGTAACTGCACACTGGTATGCCATTAACCCTAGCTGGATTTACACAAAATGTTGAATGTGTCAGTGATTGATATTAAAGTGAGGGAAGTACGGTAAGTAAAGGAAAAGTGAAGGAATAATCTTGTGGCACTGCTATGATAAACGAAGTTGTGACCCACCACAGTATACAGTAGGGCCCCACTTAAACAGTGGGTTAGGGCCCAGGCTACTGCTGTAAAGCTGGGCCCTACATACCTGTTTATTTATAAGTTGTTTATAACCATGAGTCTCTCATGAAAACTAACAAATGTATTAAATTAGTTGATTCCTGCACAGTCAATACCTCAGTTTTTTCTATCTGCATCATGTGTTAAAATGTGAGCATGACGGAGATAATTTTATATACAATCTGAGTTGATACAAACTGTGTGTGTCCATGAGGGACTCTCCCAGTGTTTATATACCCTGTGTTGTACCTGTCCATGAGGGACTCCCCAGTGTTATATACCCCGTGTTGTACCTGTCCATGAGGGACTCTCCCAGTGTTTATATACCCTGTGTTGTACCTGTCCATGGAGGGACTCTCCCAGTGTTTATATACCCTGTGTTGTACCTGTCCATGAGAGACTCCCAGTGTTTATATACCCTGTGTTGTACCTGTCCATGAGGGACTCTCCCAGTGTTTATATACCCTGTGTTGTACCTGTCCATGAGGGACTCTCCCAGTGTTTATATACCCTGTGTTGTACTGTCCATGAGAGACTCCCAGTGTTTATATACCCTGTGTTGTACCTGTCCATGAGAGACTCCCAGTGTTTATATATCCTGTGTTGTACCTGTCCATGAGAGACTCCCAGTGTTTATATACCCTGTGTTGTACCTGTCCATGAGAGGACTCTCCCAGTGTTTATATACCCTGTGTTGTACCTGTCCATGAGGGACTCTCCCAGTGTTTATATACCCTGTGTTGTACCTGTCCATGAGAGACTCCCAGTGTTTATATACCCTGTGTTGTACCTGTCCATGGAAGATTCCCAGTGTTTATATACCCTGTGTTGTACCTATCCATGAGAGACTCCCAGTGTTTATATACCCTGTGTTGTACCTGTCCATGAGGGACTCTCCCAGTGTTTATATACCCTGTGTTGTACCTGTCCATGAGGGACTCTCCAGTGTTTATATACCCTGTGTTGTACCTGTCCATGAGGACTCTCCTAGTGTTTATATACCCTGTGTTGTACCTGTCCATGAGGGACTCTCCCAGTGTTTATATACCCTGTGTTGTACCTGTCCATGAGGGACTCCCAGTGTTTATATACCCTGTGTTGTACCTGTCCATGAGAGACTCCCAGTGTTTATATACCCTGTGTTGTACCTGTCCATGAGAGACTCCCAGTGTTTATACCCTGTGTTGTACCTGTCCATGAGAGACTCCCAGTGTTTATATACCCTGTGTTGTACCTGTCCATGAGAGACTCCCAGTGTTTATATACCCTGTGTTGTACCTGTCCATGAGAGACTCCCAGTGTTTATATACCCTGTGTTGTACCTGTCCATGAGAGACTCCCAGTGTTTATATACCCTGTGTTGTACTGTCCATGAGAGACTCCCAGTGTTTATATACCCTGTGTTGTACCTGTCCATGAGAGATCTCCCAGTGTTTATATACCCTGTGTTGTACCTGTCCATGAGAGACTCCCGTGTTTATATACCCTGTGTTGTACCTGTCCATGAGAGACTCCCAGTGTTTTATATACCCTGTGTTGTACCTGTCCATGAGGGACTCTCCCAGTGTTTATATACCCTGTGTTGTACCTGTCCATGAGGGACTCTCCCAGTGTTTATATACCCTGTGTTGTACCTGTCCATGAGGGACTCCCAGTGTTTATATACCCTGTGTTGTACCTGTCCATGAGAGACTCCCAGTGTTTATATACCCTGTGTTGTACCTGTCCATGAGAGACTCCCAGTGTTTATATACCCTGTGTTGTACCTGTCCATGAGAGACTCCAGTGTTTATATACCCTGTGTTGTACCTGTCCATGAGGGACTCCCAGTGTTTATATACCCTGTGTTGTACCTGTCCATGAGAGACTCCCAGTGTTTATATACCCTGTGTTGTACCTGTCCATGAGAGACTCTCAGTGTTTATATACCCTGTGTTGTACCTGTCCATGAGGGACTCTCCCAGTTGTTTATATACCCTGTGTTGTACCTGTCCATGAGAGACTCCCAGTGTTTATATACCCTGTGTTGTACCTGTCCATGAGGGACTCTCCCAGTGTTTATATACCCTGTGTTGTACCTGTCCATGAGGGACTCTCCCAGTGTTTATATACCCTGTGTTGTACCTGTCCATGAGAGACTCCCAGTGTTTATATACCCTGTGTTGTACCTGTCCATGAGGGACTCTCCCAGTGTTTATATACCCTGTGTTGTACCTGTCCATGAGAGACTCCCAGTGTTTATATACCCTGTGTTGTACCTGTCCATGAGAGACTCCCAGTGTTTATATACCCTGTGTTGTACCTGTCCATGAGGGACTCTCCCAGTGTTTATATACCCTGTGTTGTACCTGTCCATGAGAGACTCCCAGTGTTTATATACCTGTGTTGTACTGTCCATGAGGGACTCTCCAGTGTTTATATACCCTGTGTTGTACCTGTCCATGAGAGGACTCCCAGTGTTTATATACCCTGTGTTGTACCTGTCCATGAGAGACTCCCAGTGTTTATATACCCTGTGTTGTACCTGTCCATGAGAGACTCCCAGTGTTTATATTACCCTGTGTTGTACCTGTCCATGAGGGACCTCTCCCAGTGATTATATACCCTGTGTTGTACCTGTCCATGAGAGACTCCCAGTGTTTATATACCCTGTGTTGTACCTGTCCATGAGGACTCTCCCAGTGTTTATATACCCTGTGTTGTACCTGTCCATGAGGAGACTCCCAGTGTTTATATACCCTGTGTTGTACCTGTCCATGAGAGACTCCCAGTGTTTATATACCCTGTGTTGTACCTGTCCATGAGGGACTCTCCCAGTGTTTATATACCCTGTGTTGTACCTGTCCATGAGGGACTCTCCCAGTGTTTATATACCCTGTGTTGTACCTGTCCATGAGAGACTCCCAGTGTTTATATACCGTGTTGTACCTGTCCATGAGGGACTCCCAGTGTTTATATACCCTGTGTTGTACCTGTCCATGAGAGACTCCCAGTGTTTATATACCGTGTTGTACCTGTCCATGAGGGACCCCAGTGTTTTATATACCCTGTGTTGTACCTGTCCATGAGAGACTCCCAGTGTTTATATACCGTGTTGTACCTGTCCATGAGGGACTCTCCCAGTGTTTATATACCCTGTGTTGTACCTGTCCATGAGGGACTCTCCCAGTGTTTATATACCCTGTGTTGTACCTGTCCATGAGGGACTCCCAGTGTTTATATACCCTGTGTTGTACCTGTCCATGAGAGACTCCCAGTGTTTATATACCCTGTGTTGTACCTGTCCATGAGGGACTCTCCCAGTGTTTATATACCCTGTGTTGTACCTGTCCATGAGGGACTCTCCCAGTGTTTATATACCCTGTGTTGTACCTGTCCATGAGGGACTCTCCCAGTGTTTATATACCCTGTGTTGTACCTGTCCATGAGGGACTCTCCCAGTGTTTATATACCCTGTGTTGTACCTGTCCATGAGGACTCTCCCAGTGTTTATATACCCTGTGTTGTACCTGTCCATGAGGGACTCTCCCAGTGTTTATATACCCTGTGTTGTACCTGTCCATGAGAGACTCCCAGTGTTTATATACCCTGTGTTGTACCTGTCCATGAGGGACTCCCAGTGTTTATATACCCTGTGTTGTACTTGTCCATGAGAGACTCCCAGTGTTTATATACCCTGTGTTGTACCTGTCCATGAGGGACTCTCCCAGTGTTTATATACCCTGTGTTGTACCTGTCCATGAGAGACTCCCAGTGTTTATATACCCTGTGTTGTACCTGTCCATGAGGGACTCCCAGTGTTTATATACCCTGTGTTGTACCTGTCCATGAGGGACTCTCCCAGTGTTTATATACCCTGTGTTGTACCTGTCCATGAGGGACTCTCCCAGTGTTTATATACCCTGTTGTGTACCTGTCCATGAGGGATTCTGCAGTGTTTATATACCCTGTGTTGTTACCTGTCCATGAGGACTCTCCCATGTGTTTATATACCCTGTGTTGTACCTGTCCA